ATCTCATTGAGGTTTTGATTTGGATTTCCCTGATGCTGAGTGATGTTGAGCACTTCTTCATGTGTCTGTTTGGCCAAAGGATTTATAGTGATAATGTTTATTTCATTCCTGATATTGACGGTTTGTATCTTTTTTTATGTTTGTTGGTCTTGTTAGTGTTGTATCAAATCAATTTTGATTCCCCCCCAAAGAACAAGGCTTTTGTTTTATTGATTTTCTGTTTTCCTGTTTTCAGTGTCATTGATTTCTGATCTTATGTTTATTATTTCCTTCCTTCTGCTTGCTTTGGGCTTCTTTTGCTCTTCCTTTTCTTGTCCCTTGAGGGAGGGATTTAGATCATTGAGACCTTTCCCTGTTATAGTGTAAGCATGTAGTTCTATAAATGTCCCTCCCTGCACTGCTCTAGCTTCATCCTACATATTTTGGTATGTCATATTTTCATTTTCATTTGGTTCTATGTATATATGTATTTGTTTATTTTTAAAGATTTTATTTATTTGAGAGACAGAGAGAGAGTGCACACGAGCAGGGGGGTGAGGGGCAGAGAGAGAGGGAGAAGCAGGCTTCCCGCGGAGCAGGGAGCCCGATGTAGGGCTCCATCCCAGGACCCTGAGATCATGACCTGAGCTGAAGGCAGATACTTAACCAAATGGGCCACCCAGGTGCCCCTGTATTTTTTTAAATTTATTTTGAAACTTCCTCTTTGAGCCTTGGATTATTTAGAACTCTGTTTTTCAACTTTGACTTCTGAGAGATTTCCTCTTGATTTCTAGTTTCATTCCATTATGTTGGAGAAGACACTCTGTATGATTTCAGCTCTGTTAAGGTTCTTGAGGCTTATTTTAGGCCCAAATGGTCTATCTTGGTGAATGTGTGTGAAGTGTATATTCTACTCTTTTTAGGTGGAGTGTTCTATGTATGTCATTTAGATCCTATTATATTATTCAGATTTTCTACCTTCTTGATGATTTTCTTTCTAGCAGCTCTGTCAGTTGATGAGAGGGTGTGCAAGTCCCCAGCTATATCTTTGGACTTGTCTATTTCTCCTTCCACGTCTGTCAGGTTTTTTTTTTTTATGTATTTTGAGGGTCCTGTTTAGTACTTAATACATATAGGACCTTTATGTCTTCTCAGGGGATCAATCTTTTTATCAGAATATAATACCCCTCTTTGTCTCTAGTAATTTTCTTTGTGTGAACTCTACTTTATTGGATATAAATATAGTCACTCCTACTGTTTTAAAGATTTATTTGAGAGAGAGAGCATGCATGGTGGGGAGGGGCAGAGGGAGAGGGAGAATGAAACTTAAGCAGACTCGGCCCTGAGCGTGGTGCCCAACATGGGGCTGTCTTGTCACAACCCCGAGGTCACAACCTGAGCCAAAATCAAGAGTCGGAGATGCTTAACCAGCTGCGCCACCCAGGCATCCCATCATTCCTACTACTTTAAGATTAAAGTAGTGCATGGTATATCTCTTACAGCCCTTTTACTTTCAGCTTATCTACGTCATTGAACTGAAAGTTTCTTATAAACAGCATGTGGTTGAACCGTGTTTCTTTATCCACTCTGCTAGTCTTTCTTTTGATTGTTGTATTTAGGCCCTTTATATTTGATAATTACTGATAGGCTAGAGCTTAAGTCTGCCATTTTATTATTTGTTTTCTGTTTGTTTCCTCTGATTCTTATTCCTCTTGTTTCTTTTTCCTTGCCTTCCTAGGGGTTACTTGAATATTTTTTTAGGATTCTGTCTTGATGTATTTTTGGTGCATTTGAGCATATTTGTGTAGTTTGTATGATGGTTACTCTGACTATTCCTATATATAGGAATATGGTGACTTATCACAGTCGATTGGTGTCAACATTTTATCACGTCAAGTGACCTTACTTCCATCAGGTCCCTTTATCTTCTTGACTTTTTAAATACTGTCTTAAGTATCAGATGGTGTTACAACTTGTGTTTCAGTCGTCAAGTAGATTTAGAAAACTCATGAGGAGAAGCATAGTTTACAGCATATAACAAGAGTTCTGCTCTGTTGTTCCTTCTTCCTGACACTCTAAGATTTCTTCTGTTATTATTGCATTTCTGTTTGGAGAATGTCCTTTGGCCAGCCTTAAAGGTATGTCTGCTAGCAACAAAGTCTTTTAGTTTTCGTTTGTCTGAGAATGTCCTTATTTCTCCTTCATTCCTGAAGAATAGTTTCACCAGATGCAGAATTCATGGCTGATCATTCTTTTCTTTCAGCCCTTAAAAATGTTGTGCCACTGGAGGGTGCCTGGGGGGCACAGTCAGTCAAGGTTCAGTTCAGGTCATGATCTCTCAGGGTTGTGAGATTGAGCCCTACATGGGGCTCCACACTCAGCGTGCAGTGTGCTCAAGATTCTCTCGCTCTCCCTCCATTCCTCCACGGACTCGTGTGCACTTGCGCATGCTCCCTCTCAAATAAATAAATTTTTTAAAAATGTGCCACTGGGGTGCCTGGGTGGCTCAGTCAGTTTATGTGTCTGATTCGATCTCAGCTGGGGTCTTAATCTCAGGATCCTGAGTTCAAGCCCCGCACGGGGCTCCACACTGGGCATGCAGCCTATTTAAAAAAACGAACAAAAAAATGTTCCACTTCCTTCTGGCCTCTGTGGTTTCAGATGAGAAATCTGCTGTCATACAAAGTGGTATTCTCTTGTAGGTAATGCCTTTTCTCTGTGACTACTTTCAAGGCTTTTGTCTTTAGTTTTCAGAAATTTAATTAGGATGCATCCTGGAGTAGATTTCTTTGGGTTTTTCCTGTTAAGGTTCACTCAGTTTCTTGATTCTGTTGTGTGTGTTTTGCCAAATCTGGGAAGCTTTCACCCATTTTTTTCACAGCCCCCACATTTTTCTTTCTCTTCTGGGACTCCAGTGATAGGAATGTTGGATCTTTTGTTCCTGTCCCATGATCCCCGAGACTTAATTCATTTTTTTTTTTCAGTCTATTTTCTCTCTCTTGTTCAGACTGGGTAAATTCTACTGAATTCTTCAAGTGCAGTGATTTCTGTCCTCTGTCATCTCTACTCCACTACTGAGCCCATCCAGTGAGTTTTGGTTTTCAGTTTCAATTTTTTGAGCCGAAAATCCTTATCAAAGCTGAAAGTTTAGGTCTTCAATTCATCACGAATACTGAGCTGCTAATACAGAGCAGTAGAGAATCACTTTAGTGAGATGTCTTTAATTTCTTAGTGTCTGAAAAACGGTTTCATAAATCAGAAGCATTCAAAAGCCAAATAATGCATCCATATGGAATTTTCTTTTCAGGTGAAAGAAATACTTGCAAGAGCATACATGTGGTGTAGCCTGTTCAGCTGTGTAATTCAGGCATAGCATAGTTTGAGTTGTATGCCAACTGTGTAGGCCACCACAGCTAATTAAAGCAATGCAAACAGTACTGGCTCATTTCTTGTATTAACAGGCATCCCAGTGATGATGAAACCAAGACCGTCGTTTGCATCCCTTTTGATTTTTGGTGGCTTCAGATTCACAGGTGCATGTTCGGGTGTGGTACTGATGCCTTTCACAAGTTTCTCAAAACAGCTTCCAGACTCTCTCCACCTTTACTTTACGCTGTTACAATTCTTGCTTTGTGCCAAGAAGATGTTAGTATGATACGGTATCTTTGAGTTGGAAAAGGCAGCCTTCCAATCCCTGGAGCTTTTGTTTCTACAAAAACAGTGAATCTACTTTCATCCCTGTTCCCTAGGTCTAGGGAGACTCAGGAGTTGAGCTAGAGGAAACTTTCCTTTTAGAACGTTCTCCTTCTGGGGCGCCTGGGTGGCACGGTCATTATGTGTCTGCCTTCGGCTCAGGTCATGGTCCCAGGGTCCTGGGATCGAGTCCCACATGGGGCTCCCTGCTCCGTGGGAAGCCTGCTTCTCCCTCTCCCGCTCCCCCTGCTTGTTTTCCGTCTCTCACTGTGTCTCTCTCTGTCATATAAATAAATAAAATCTTTAAAAAAATAAATAAATAAAAATAAAAGAACATTCTGCTTCTTAAGAACGTTATGCAGACAGCCAGCTACCAGTAGGCTAAGAAAGGTACAACACCATGCTCTTCTCAGGTTCTACCCAGCCCACCCTCTGGGCCCCCAAACAGACTGCTGAGAGAAAGGTAGTAGGAGTTGTTGCTTTTTGTTCTAACAGCAAGTTACGGTACACGTCAAAAATCAAAAAGTGAGCTTAAATGCGTGGATGCAGCATGTTCAAGGAGGTATTTACCTGACGTTACCTTTGTCCTTTAGAACTCCAGTGGTAAACTAACTGACTTCCTGAGCTTCTACACACTCCCCTCCACAGTCATGCACCACCCTGCGCACAAGAGCCTCAAGGCCGCCTACTCCTTCTACAACATTCACACGGAGACGCCCCTGCTGGACCTCATGAGTGATGCGCTCATTATAGCCAAATTGGTAAGCGGCTCCCTCCCTTTTTGTCCTGGGTGTTTCTCCAAATACGTGTGCCAAAGTATATAAAACCTCTTACTAGAGCTCCTTCTGCACGGGTGCAATTCATTTGAGATATTTGTTACTGTTGACCGTCCGTCAAAGGGAGAATTTTGATGAGAGTTTTCTTTTAAAACTTCAGAGGCTGTTTGCATCGTTGACTCTATTGCAGCTTAGCCAAAAAGGTATTTTGTGCAAATTAGAAACTCTTAACCCTTATAGAAGAATGCATAAAACCCGTAATACAAGGAATATAGGAAAAATACATGGTACCTTGATAAAAGGAATAAACATGTTCGTGTTGCAGTGCATAATTAGCAACAGGAAACTTTTGAACTTCAACTTAAATAGTCTCTGAATTTTAAAATTAAAGGAATTTTATTTTTAAAATTAAGAAGGAGTTTAGTATTAAAAAGAAAGGCATTTAAAATGAAAGGAATTAAATTCAAAATGTGCTCTACTATATTTGCAATATTTTTCTATTTCCTTAGTGTGGTAGTTAGGATAATTGTTAAATTCTTGCTACAAATAAACATTTTTTTTTTAAAGAAGTTGAAATTAGCTGACAGTTATTTCAGTGTAATTACTGGACATGAGAAAATACTATTCATGAGAAATTGAGAACAACACGTCAAAAGTGTCTTCTTTGATAAACTGAAAACATTTTTTTAACATAGTACTCTTCCATCTCCAAATCAACATTATCCTATGATTCTTTGATCCTCTTGCTCTTTTTCAGCTACTTCCCCCCAAAAGCCAATAATAAATGATTTAAGGTAAAACCCCTAGAAATATAAATCTATACCACATTTTGCATAGTATTTTTACCTAACATTTTCAAGAAATACAATTTTTACTACTAAAATTTTACTAAATTTATTTCCAAGCATCATCCCAAGACCAAGTACACATTTAAAGTCTTTAAAGCTTTAGCTCAGTCAGAACTTCAAAAGGCCCATAACTAACAGCTCTGGAGATGGAGCGCCCTGGGCAAATGTTCCTTCTGAAAATATCCTAAGACAGTTTTGAACTGAGTTCTTAACCTATACATAGAATGTAGACATTAAACCTTGTTATAAATGCATATTTGAGCTATTAGTAGAGGAATAAAACGGTACACTGCAGTACATAATAATAGAAAACACTCTAGTCCTTTGATGTTTAAAATTTGAAATCCTTTTTACATTGGCAGAAAGGATTTGATGTATTCAATGCACTAGATTTGATGGAAAATAAGACCTTCTTGGAAAAACTCAAATTCGGCATAGGAGACGGCAATTTGCAGTATTACTTGTACAACTGGAGATGTCCAGGAACAGATTCTGAAAAGGTAAGTGCAGTAGCTACACCCTTTAGAAACCTAATAAATGTCCCTAGGAAATCCCATACTTGCTGCCCTTAGGATTAAGGCGTTTTTTTTAGTAGCTTTTAAAAAATACAGAGCTATTGTACTGTAATTTATTTTTTCTCGCTTACCTGTTCTTACCATTCTGTTTCTTCCCTCCCTTTAGGTTGGACTAGTATTACAATAGATGGATATTTCTATTTCTAGAACTCTGACATCATCATTTGTTAATATTCTATTTAATGATTCCTGGAACTGCCATTCCAAAGAAGAATAAAAGCACAACTTAAGTGAAATCGATGTAGTCGGTAACAATCAGAAAAGATGAAAAAAAAACCACCCATATGTGACCAATAGTACATATTTCTAGCTAGAATGTTAACATTCTTTTTTCTCACTGTTTACCCATTTGTAGGAGGGATGAAAGGGTACAGAGAGCACATTCCTCTAATCTTCAGACTTTGGGCTGTCTCTTGATGAAGAGAAGGTATTTTTCCACTCTGTAGAAAAGGGACTGTTTTTCTGTGGACTGAAGAAGTCACAGAACTGTGTAAGAAAATCTTTGCTATTGTGTGGAGATAAACTGCTGCATTTCTCTTTATTAAGTGTTGGTCTGTCTGTCCGTGTAACAGAACAAAGGATCCATGTGGAAAATGTGTGCTCCCGTCACCTTACATGGTATCCCTGGGAGCATTTAGGGAATCAGCACCTTCCATAACTCGGTGACGGAGTAGGTGGGTGTTAAAGTATAGAGGGAGATAAAAATGTACTGGGGACTGGGAAGTACATTTATTCCTCCAGAAGCAGAGTTGCCAAATAAACATACAGATGTGTACTTTGATCTCCAGCAGTCAGTGGATTGGTTCAAAAGCAAAGTTTTGTGCAAACACGTGCTGAGAGTACACCCGTGAGTGACTAGACTTCGCTGCTGCCGCACAAACTCGTGTCTTCTCAGCAGCAGCAGAGATGTCAGGCAAAGAAAATAAAAGTTCTAAAGTCACAAGAAATGCCCAGTGGAATTTATTAGTGCTATCAGGACATAGATAGTTTGAATGTTTTTTATTACTTATGCAAAATTGCACATATTCCTTTATGCTGACTTTAATTTATCATGAAAGCTGTCATGCTAATGGAAAATATCTTATATGTAAATAAGTATTCATAATTTTGTTACTGATGGTGTTTTTATCTAGAATTTGAAAACCCTGTTTTCGCAGTGTACATATATATGTATATATTGCCAGTAGTCGAAGGAGGGGCAGGAATATGCTGAACGAAGCCACAAAGCACTGGCTTTGACTCAGATACCACAGAGTAGATCCTTCTTCCTGCCTTTTACTGTGCCAGTGCCTAGGCTCTTTAGTGCAGAAAAATTTAATTTTAGACAACATGACAGCCTTTCCTTTATGTTCTAAGTGGTCAAATGAAAGCAGTCATATCTTAGATCAGGTAGGAGCCAGCAAACTCTGGCCCATGAGCTAGATCCAGCCTGTCACCTGTTTTTGTACAGCCTATGAGCTAAGAATGGTTTTCACATTTTTGAATGGTTGCTGGGATGGGGCGGGGAGCGGGGGGGATACGGGAAGGGGGGAATCAAAGGAATAACATGTTGTGACATGTGAAAATTGTAGGACACTCAAATCTCAGCATCCATAAAGTTTTATTGGGACACAGCCACACTCGTTTGCTTACGTATCGCCTGTGGCTGCTTCATGCTACAGAGGCAGAGTTGAGTTATTCTGACAGAACTGTATGGCCCAAAAGGCCTAAAATATTTACTGTCTGGCCCTTAACAGGGGGGAAAAAAATTGTCGTCCCTGACTTACTAGAGCTGAAAGCCACTCTGCACCATCGTCCTAAAGACAAACCCACAGCTGCGACTACCACTAGAGGGGGCTCGGGGACTGCACAGTAGTGCACAGTCAGGCCGGCGGGGTTTACCTCTTTGGAGCCTTAGAGAAGACTTCTCATATAGGACGATTCCGACTCCACTGCATTACCATTCTTTCTTAACAGAAGGAGAGTGGCTTCGGAAGCAAAACTGAACCAGTCCACCAAAACACCAAGAATTAAGTAAATGGGATTTGAATCTGGAGTCAGGTCTCTCGGGAATTGTGTTCCATTCATTTTTAAGGCACAGCCTTATATGATGTAGGTTTTCAGGTGATTGCAGACTTGCCAGTCAGTAATTTTATCACAAGCTCACGTCGTGATAAAACTGGCACTTTTCCTTTATTTGTTTACATAATTCCAGTTGTTATAGAATTCAGATGCTTTTAATACAGTAATTAATAAATAGCATATTTTCCTCTTTAAAAGGCCTCTTTATAATTTAGATTACCAATGAACATTTCAAAATTGAAAACTGATAAAACTACTTGTGTTTATAAAGTAGTTACTAGAATTAAATTTCACTGCATTATACAGTGTCTTAGAGATTCAAAAAAACATTGTCCTTCATCTTTGTCAACAATGGAAATGCTCTATTCCATGAGATGTCTTTCCCTCCCCATCCCCTCCTTTTTTTTGCCAAGATGGCATTTAGTAAAATTTAAAAGAACAGAGGTGGCATAATCCGAGAGTCAACCAGAATTTAGGCTGAAAATACACTTCAGCAATCCAGTACCTTCCCCCTAAATTACAAAAGGACCTTTTCCAAACACATACTGCAAATGGCAGACACTTTAACACAGACATAGAGGATTGATTATGCTCCATTTTCTAACATGAAGAACCCCAGTAATTGCACAAACCCATCTCTGAGACCTCAAGCTCCTCACTTTAATTCTCTTCCTGCCTCATTTGACCTAATTATCAGCATACTTTTTACCCATGTTAATTTTCCAAGGAAATAAGCTAACCATGTAAAGGGGTGAATTTCAACCATTCAAAATACCGCATCTGGCTTTTTCCTACAAGCTCATGCATATGCCTACTACAAAAAAAGTCAGATCAACAGGAAGTAAAAAAATAATTTTTTCCTGATATGTTTCTGAAGACAGTGTATTGCTTGGTGTTTAGTATCTTTCTTTTAAAACTGATTGATCTCCAATCCAGTTTCATCTGCATTACTAACTAGAACCTGTTTACTGTGGCACATTTTCCAAGTTTGATAGAAAGATGTCAAGTGTTGTAGGATACAGAATTTCTTGCTTACAAGCACTGTACCAGGCTTTTAAAAAATGAATTTATACAAGCATGGACATTAGTTTCAATAAACTTTTGTTTTGATATTCATACTTTTGAATATTTTCTGCACTTAAGTGTTTTTAAGTGTCAGCCTATTTATACAGTCTCACACCTATGAAAGGAATGTTACTAAAAGTACCCCAAGAATATATGTAAAAATAACACATTTTATTAGTTTTAAGGCTTCTTTACGAAGTGTTGTTTTACAACTATACGAAATGACAAGTTTATAGATTACTTTGAAGTCGTTTTTTTACCTTTGGGTGGTTTCCTTATCTTATTGGGGTTTGGAATCACTTTCTTTATTTTAAGGGGCTGTAACACAACAGCCTGCTGACCTTCAACAAGCTTCCTTTTATGTTTAGAGAGGTCTTCAAAGGAAGTTTCCAAAATCTCTTTGTCTTGGCTTTCCAAAGATTCAGTGTCTGATTTTTCCCTGGAGTCTTCCAGTCTGCCTTGAAGCCATGGTACGTGTAAACTGGGTACTCGGGGAATTATGGCTTTGACTTCATCAACAAAGGCAGTGGTGTCCTTTCTGAACCCCAAGGCCAGGATACATTTTAAGCCAATGACAGGTGCGAGTGTCTCGCTGAGACGGGGAACCTGACAAGCAGGAACGGATCTGCTCAAACTTAACTGAATCAGGTGTGAGGTAATGAGCGCGGGCTTGGCTGACTTACACACTAGGACCAGCAGCAGCCCATTCTTTTCCAGAGCTCTGGTAACCTCATTAACGCCAATGGTCAGCTGCTTCCTGATGTGGACAGGAGTCCACCCTGACCCTTGCTCATTATCTCCTGGTTGTTTCTCCTTCTGATCCTCACTTGTATCAACCTCTGTGCTACATTTGTCTGGGCTTTGTTTTTTTAAAAACGGTTTTTTCTTTTTCTTCTTATCCTCAGTCTTCTGAAGCCCAAGCGATTTAAATCTGTCTTCAAGGGTGTGTAATATAAAGTGCATGTCTTCTCTCTCTAGTGCACTCCAGCAGATAGCATATGGGTTGTTCAGCGCTGTCTTTACCGTTAAAGGTCTTGTCTTCCGAACAGAGCCCCTCCCCGGTGCTTGAGGGGCTGCAGCCATTCTGAAAATCTTTCCTAAGAAGCAGACGACAAAGTAAATTCGTGTTATGAGCAGTGCATGTCAGAAGAATATCTTGTTTGTACTCTTTCTGATTCCTGATAGGCTATAGCAAGCCTGACTATACAGAACCAATGACATGACCATACACTAAACCTCTTTTAAGATTAAGGAATTTATGTTCCCCATTTTTTCATGACTTTGTCTTTATTCTTATACAGGTAATACATAAATGGTTTGCATTACTGCAATCACAGTGAAATCCTATTTCATTTATTAAAAATGTTCCATGTTTCTACCTGTTCATGATTATCTTTTTTCATGACTGTGTGGTATTAATCTTACAAATCTGTTACCATTTTCTGAATTGCTCTCCAGTTAGGCCTCCATCCCACAAAGACTCCCTGAGCACCCCCCTGTGTGCAAGTCCACCTGCACGGAGCCCCCAAGCTGTGTGGGCCCAGAAGCCTCTGCTATTTATAATCAACCAGGTGTGGGTTTTTAAGAACCAGAATAGTAATCTATGTACACAATTACAAATTCAAATGATACTTTCATTCTATGCCCTTTTGTAAGTCTCCCTCCCTCCCTGAACTCTAGGCTTCTTGTATATCCTTCCTTAAACATCTCCCACATACACAGGTATATATTCCCCCTTCTGGACAGTTATTCCAAGCTGACTGCTTCTGCAGCTGGCAACTTGAGGAAAACTAGGGAAATTTTGTGATGAAACTTAAAAATACAAATCCGTTAAAGAAAAATAAGAAGGATCCTTCCTGGGAAAATGTTATAAACCACTGATGTAGGGAGCATATCTTGGCTCTCCTTCCCAGAGCAAGTGCATTTGTCTTCCCTCAGTTTTATTCCTTGCTTCTTCCTGGTGCTCAGCTAAGAACCATAGTGACCTACATGGCAAAACTGAAGGAAGTTAAATGAGCCAGCCCGCGAGAAGTCTGGCATCTGGAACTGTCCCTATTTTCAGATGACCAGATTTTCTCCCTCCAGACAGTCCCTCATTCCAGGTGCTCATTTATCCCACTAAGACTTGCCTTCCCCGAAATGCCCATGCACAATTAAGAATTAAGTCCTCTCCAATTGAACTTCCACTCACCAGGTAAAGAGCAGGTGTCTTTGTGGAGTGTGTCAGAACATAGAAGGCATTTTCTCCATCTAACTTGATTCTCACAAAATTCCTATAGAATTGCCTAACGTGTGGGTGAAGAAACAGTCGGGTTAAATGCCTTGCCCGAAGTCACAATTGGTTTTCCAAACCCGAACTTTATGCTTTTTCAATCCTGGCTGCACCTCAAAAATAACCTGTTGCCTTTTAAAACATACAAATGGTTGGTCCTTATCCTGAATGTACTGAATTGGAATCCCTGGGAATAGGACCAGGGCACCTGTATTTGTAAAAAAAAAAAAAAAAAAAAAACTGTCCAGGTGAGTCTGATCCAGAACAGGGTTAGAACAGCTGGAGTAGGACAGGCTGCCTCTTGACCCTGGACAGCCGTGAGAAATGGCTTTCTGACCTCCACTGGTCTCCATCCAGTGCACCTCCTAAGTCACCTTCTAACAGAAATCTAAAATTCAGCTCCTCCGGGCAGGGTCAGACTTCGTTCATGCCAGTGCTGCCAGAGCCCTGGTTACCTGCTGCACAGCCCTCCTCATCCCCCATTTTCTCATTGTTCCCCTCCAGCTCGGGGAGTCAGGAAGTAGCTCAGCCAAATCCTTGGTAGAGGCCCGGCATCAGGTTGAAGGTGGTCAGGAAGACAAGACAAATACGATCTAACAGAGCTCTTGCCAAACTGCAAGTCAGCTCATGGGCCTCAGCATTCAAACAGCACAGAATGCGGAAATCCTTAAGTAAATACTTAAGAGTTGTATGCTCTGGAGGGAGAGTAAGCTAGGCACGAACTCCCATATTCAGAATCTAGCGCGGGGAGACAAGAGCCAAGTAGTTCAGATACGCAGACTCTTACACCATATAATCCAAAAACAACGTACTGATTGATGAGAAGCCGCAACGGTTTTGGAGGAGAAAAACAGGAAGGCTTTGCTGAGGTGCCTTTTGAGCTAGGTCTTGGAGGCATTCACTACATACAGGATCAAGGGCAAACTCTTTAAGGTGACCTACAAGGCCCTCCACACTCTGGCCCTCATCATCCACCAGCCTCTTCCACCATGCACGATTACATCCCGCCACTGAACCACTTACTGTTGAACGAGGCCACCAGTTTCTAACCTCCATATCCTCATACACATTAGTCCCTTCCACCTTCAGCCCCCACAACCACCTTTCTTCAGCAAGTATTTCTGGATTATCCACAACACACCAAGCCATAAAGTATTAAAGTAAAAACAGTTACTAGCCTCACCGTGCTTAGAATCCATGAAAAAGACATATCAGCAGGTAATAACATAGTAAGATGTGCACATTCAAGTCCGGGAACTACAGAATACTAAGGAAACAGCAGAAGCTAACTCAGCTTAAGGAGTCAGAAAAGAGGTCCTGGAGAAATTGACCTTTTAACCTACATCTGAAGAATGCCTGCCAAAGGGAGTATGAAATAGAGTATCCCAGGGAACAACATTAAGGACACGAATTAAGTTCAACGTCGCTGAGGCAGAGATGCTAGAGAGGGTGAGGTATTAGGGAAAGGAAGCAAGGACGAGAGGGTGAAGGTCCCTGCAAACCTTATAAATGGGAAGCAACTGTAACGTTTAAGCAGAAGAGTGCCATGATTTGAAAGGCACTGCAAAAAGATCTTCGCGGATTCCCGGCCTGGAAGCGTCCTTCGCCAAGAGTGGAAGGAGCAAAGAGGTTCCCAGAGTAGGCACGACGGTGGCCTGCACTAGAGTCGCCGCAGAGGGGTTGGGACAGAAATTCATAGAGTTGAAATAGTTAAGAGGTAGAATCTACCAGGCTTGGTGCTATCACCCGGGAGTAACGCAGAGGAAGGACTCCGGTCTCTAGATCCGGTAGCGGAGGGGAGGACAGCCCCAGTCCCCGCTGGCTGCATTCCTGTCCCAGAGTCCCTCCCCGTGCATGCTGCCCTGTATCTAGTGCCCTCATTCTTCATTATTTAGATTCGCAAACTCTAGTTATTTTGTGGTCCGTCCCCGGTTCTAGGCTGTGGAGCACTGAAGGACCAGGGTGGGCTTTATCTTACTATTTCCCGTACCCTACAGATGCTCAGCTCCAGACAGAGGCGAGTAAACCAAGGCCCAGGAAAGTACGCCCGTTCACGCGGGGCGGCCCGAGAGACAGGGGTCTCGGGGAAGACCTCGGGACCTAGCGTGCCCGCCGCCCTCCGCACTCTGCCGCCTCTCAGGCCGGATCCCACCCGGGGCGCGCCCCTCCGGTCCCCTTACGTCCCCCGCACCCCGCTCCCACTCACGATGGCAACCGCACCACCTCCACGTGCGACGCGCGTGCGCAGAGCCCTCGCCCTCCCTGGTCCCGCCTTCCAAATGCTCAGAGAGCTTCGCATCTCATCATCTCACCTCGTCACTCACAACAGAGAGTCGGCCCACAGCTTCGCGAAGACCGAACTATAAAAGCCCTGAGTCCGGGAATGTGGCTGGGAGGCTCAGGACGCAGCCCTACAGCGGCAGTGCGCAGGCGCAACGCCGGTCTCGCGAGACCTCACGGTTGCCGTGGTAACCCGCGGCTCACTGGCTGCACAGCTTGGTCGGGGGGCTGTTACAATGCCGGTAGCCGCCGGAAGGCTGGTTCTCTCCTGTGTCGCCTTCTCTCTTCTAATCCAGTTTCTCCCTTTCAGCGCCTGGCAGTCTTGGCTCTCTCTTCTCGCTCTTCTGTATTTGGCTTGCCTAAGGGGACGCAAAACCCTAGTTCCCGTCCAGTGTCCCCATCTCCGTCGACTCTCCGGCACCAGGAAGATAAACGGGGGGATCAGGGGTGGTTTGAGGTAAAAAAAAAAAAAAAAACAACCACGTGCCTACAGGCAACA